GTCGTTTGTCATATCTTCAAACACCAGAGACATGTATAAATAATAGTACTAAAAATGTGCTCAAGAGAAGGTGCGAGAGGAAAGGGATCCGAAGTAAAGATGGGCCTATTATTGCCTGTTGAATAAGTTCTTTTAATTTAGGTGGAGACAATTGCAAGTAAGCGCGGAACTCACTGACAGGATAAAATTATTCCTGTAATACACGATGGCGTCAGGACGTCCGGTATTTAGACGGCTAGACCCGTACGTCTTTTGTGATTTCCAGTGAAAAACAGACTCCACTGAGATGTCTATAAACGAAAAATTCACTATTATTAAGGTTGAGAAAGCTGTCATTTGCTGCTACTATGAAATCGTTGTGATATAATTGCTTTTGCAAGACCACAGTGAATATATGAATGATCTGATCATAATCGTTCATATGGGCAGGGTCAGGTTCGAAAGCTGGTTACCGCTTACCCAAGATCAAAAGATAACCGAAGTATTGATTTTTCTTGCTTAAAAATGTTGTTCGCTGCTTATGTTTTGTTTAGTTTGAGCTTACTCAAGTTAAAAACTGGGCCGGGTTGTTCAAAGCCCGATTAAGCTAACACGAGATAAGAGAAAATTTTGATTTGAGTTTTGTAACTTTTGGGTGCTGTTTTCTGTTTATATTGTTTGCCCTTCAGGTTTGAGTTTGAAAAATCACAAACAACACAAAACATAAGCAATAATGAAAAACACTTTTATACAAGAAAAATGGATACTTTGATCAACTTTTAATCCTAGGTTAGCGTTAACCGGCTTTCGAACAACCCGGCAAAACAATAAACAATATAAACAGAAAACCTCACCGAAAAGTCGCAAAAATGAGATCAAAATTCCTGCCAATCCTGGGTTAGCTTAATCAGCCTTTGGACAACCCGTCCATGTCTTTAAATAATCGTTTTTGTTGTGATGAGACAATCCTACCAGCTTATTCCTTATTATCTCATTTTATTTATTACATTATTTAATTTTTCCTCAGATCGTCCGTTTGAGCTGCAGAAGGAAACGAATCAAAACCGTAGGAAATGCTGACTCCTCCGAAATTACCACAACATGCGCCTGCGGTGCAACCTGTGCCAAGTTCTGCTCATGTTGTGCATGCTCATCGGCTTGCTGTATTGCCTGTTGGTCGTGTTTTCCGTGCTGTAACTTGTTTACTTGCCTCCGGTCGTTTTTCTGCGGGTCCCAGGTTCACCCGGCCCCAAGTAGCGGAAGGGAGACCAAGTCTGACTTCTACATTGGAGGTATTCTTCAAGACAAAGATGCAGAGATAGTCTACCTGAAAAATGAACTGAATCAGGTGGGTGTCAATATCTGGTTGCAAGCGTGAAATTACCTCAACTTATTATATGGCTGTCTCACAAGGACTAGGAACTACCGAATTCACTAATTTTAAGTGGCTGAAACCGATATTGACCGCGGTCTAGATTTTCTCATCTGGACCGGCATCTAGACCGGTTACATTTTGCGGTGAAAAAGTTGCAATTTAAAATACAAAGGTATTGACTATTTTCTTCTCATGATATTAAGGAAGTGCCAAAAAGCTTGATGAGAAAAAAAAGAGGAAAGAGGCCCGACAAACTTTTTAGTTCAGCTCATCGCCGTTTGCAAGCAAATTGTCAACTAGTACCAAACAGGTCTGGACCTAAGCCTCTCCATACTTTCCAAAGGAGGAGTTGTCGTCGGAGTCTCAATTTATTTAACTGTTAATGGTCAGCTTCCTTTACTCTTAGTGCGCCTTGCTCTATTATATTTAGTTCATTGCAAGTTTTTCGTCCTTTTTTCCCATTTTATCAACAGAAAGACACCATGCTTAGCAATCTAGGGCAGAAGCGCACACTCAAAAGTAACTCAACACAGACGGTCGATGACGGAAATAACTACTGGGAACTCGAAGATGGAGAGAGCACGTTTGATGCAAGCGCAAGCGGAAGTGACGGAGAGAGTCTAACGAGCTCCGACGGCAAGCGACGCTTCCGGCGTGCGGCTAATAAAGTCAGAATCTTTAGTGAAAGTGTCGATTACTCACATGTGAGAAGCAAGGTAGATATCGCATGTTTATTAACACTCAACTTATCGGCACGTCTGTACTTCATTTGTTGCATGCACTGTTAGCGCTTTCCTGACATGTTTGTGCGCAAGTAACGGAATGGTCTCAAACTGCATGCGAGACTTACCATGCGTGACAGAATATCCCAAATAGAGACTTTGAGCGACGATGTCAAAACACTGTCAAAATGTAAGAGCTAGAGAGGCAGCGTGACAGAATGATGAAAACTAGTGTGACCTAGCCAGACGAAAGGTAATGAAATCACAAGGGTTTTTTTTCGTCTTGCTAGGTCACTCTACACTAAACTTTTTGGTAAGGTAGAATAGTGTGACCGACGGAATAGCCTAAAGTAACGTAATCTCCAGTTGATTCTGATTGTAATTTTATTTTCCTTAGGTAAATACAGGAATAAGAAGATCATCTCTCTCTCCCAGCCCTCAACCCAGACGGAACTCACGGATGTCTATTTCTTCGCTTTCGAACGAAGAACTGCGCAAGCTCAGAGCAACACTCGCGGAGGTAGAGGGGACTTCAAGTCGACTTTAGATATAATTCGAAGACGCTTAAAAACTTAACTACCTGTAAACCAGAACAGTTATGTTTTGATAAGCTATATATGGTCGAATCGATTCGAAATGACTACTTAGATATCAATTTGCGTTCAAACGTCCAGTCTCTGAACTCTGATCTTCCTTCCCCGCGCGCTCTGTGTAAGGCTTAAATGTGCCCGGGGTTCAAATCCTACGTAGAGCGCGGGACAGTAACCTGTAAACAGGTTCCAAGCGAGGGCGGAAAAAAGATGGCGAATCGACGAGTGCGAAAAAATAATCGCTTCGCTCGCCGAATTTTTTTTT